ACGGCACTGTTTAGATACATACAAACTATCCAAGGTTTTTTTTATTGACAGCCACAACTCAATCATAATAACATAAATCCCACCGGCCGTCAGTAGAGTTAGGACGATGTTTGTATGTATTATTATGATATTGATAACTATGTGTTAACGAAGAAAAGATGCCAATTGAGTAGAATTTCAAGATACAAAGCCAAAAAAGGGGACCCTGTGGTGTTCATCGTTCTCTGCCTATTGTTCCACTTTTAAGTGGCCCAGCTGACCAAAGTGCCAAGGTTTATTGTTTCGTTAAAAGGACAGATAACATAAAACAAAATTTCCCAGAGCATAAAATTGTCTAATTTGGAATATAAATTAAATGAAGGTTTTCTTTTATAGATATTTCAAAAAAAATTATTAATGGTTTTATGTTTAGTTTTAGATAATATAAAAAAAAATTCCAGAGCCTATAAAAGAATACATATTTTGGAATTTCAAGTGTATCCTTGGACAGCAACACTGTTGAAAATGTATCTGAACTTAGATAATGACTCTCGGTTGCACCAATATTTCAGACCTTTTTTCAACGCCCTTCATCATTGAAACGACCGTTCATATCAATATTGTTATCTCAGCGCATTAAAAACAAATTTTTTGGACGTAAAAAATCACGCACTCAATAATTCAGAGAGGAGACGCTCAATATATTCATGGTTATGCATGTGATTGTGAGGTTTGAGAGATTCTTTGTTTTTTTATTCGTAATTCGATTGTCAACTCCTTGATGATAAGAATGTGGAAAAAATACATTTGTTTGATCACAGAAGTGGGGAAAATTAAGAATGGACAACATACACTTGCCTGCCAAGATAGTGAAAGTAGACAATAATTTCAACGTGCTGCACTTTTATATGCATGAAAAATGACTTTTTTCTGATAGTGAGATGTTGAAGAGAAGATAAAAGAAAGTAAACTACATACTTTTAAATTCTAAGGATGAAATGAGTACTATGGGCTGAAAATGGGCATGCATTTGTGATTTTTCAATGTATTAGAGTTATTCAAATCCTTTGATGCGTGCATCAATAATATCTAAAAACAAGCATTTTATGTGAGTTAAATTTGGGCAAGTTGGATGCGCCAAATTCTATCTTCAATAATAGTACATGGAAATCATAAAAGGAGCCAACCTGCAACGTTCATCTTCCAACAAACATTGGAAAGCACCACCACCCGCTCTCCAAGATCGAAATATCGAATACATGGTGGGGGACCTCATCCACAGCTTTTACATGGTCACTTGTTATTTTCATGTGGGGACTCGTACATTTCTGACTATGCCTTGGGCACATTGAAATTAATTGGGTTTGGTATTATTAAATTTGCGACCTCATGTGCACGGACAAACGTAAGATCTTATGTTAAGAATATCAACTTAAGAGTTTATATTAAAATTTTAAATGTGTCAAATTATATTATCAATACAAAAATACATATATAATCAAAACAAGAATTTGAAACTTTTAGAGATACGATCGTATCCCTTGATCCATCCCTATCCACGTGGGCTATCTAAGAAACCAAATCAGGGAAATATGGATAACACATGATGGATTGACGGGCATTTGAACTATGAGCCACTAGGGCTAAAAGCTGGTGAAAAAGCCCATATTTCTTTCTTTATCCATTCCTTTCTTTTGTATAATTAAGCATGTTGTTAGTCCTCCGGAAGCATTTCTTAAAGAAGCTGAGGGATAATCTCACTTTTTAAATTATATTTTGTCACTTGACGTTTACAAATATGCCAATTATTAATATATGCTTCTTTGGTGGCATCATACCCTTTTGAAATTTCATAATTTAATTCTTTCCTTCTTTTTTATTTATTTTCTTAAAAAAATCTTGATAAATATTATCTTGTTTTCAAGTTGCCATTGAGGAGACCCCATGCTTTCCAATTCGAGATTATGGTCACGATTTCTAGAAAAAAGAAGAAGCAGCATTTTCTAATTCATTTTAAAAATTTAAAATTCAATTTGCATCATTACGTGATTGATTTGATTTTATAATCATATTATCCGATTATTATTCTATAATAACCAAATAATGATAATAAAAAAATTGGGAAATGCCCGGCAGCAGGAATCAAGCTAGCATCGACATGAAAGCGAAATCATCAACTATGCATTATTTAAAATTAAATAAGGAAAAGAAAGGAAAAAGTTGGTCGGAGTTGATTTGCCTGTTGTTTAGTGAAGTAATAGAGCCCACCTATATTTGTGATGTAATGGCTTCCATAATACTGATAATTTGTCCAAGGGAATGATTAGGTGATGCACCCGAGTTGTATTAAATTAACTTTTTATATTATAATTTACATTATTTCAATGTCATTATAATTATACAGGCCAATTAATTTAAATTAAATATTCTAAAAATTATTATCTTTAAATTAATTTGTTTCTTTTATAATATTAATTTTTTTAAAATCTAATGTTTTACTTCATTTAATTGACTAAAAATATGTACAACAATTATTCATTATATTTATTTTCCAAAAAAAATAAACAAATAGCCTTCTAAGTCTAGAAATATCTTGACATAATAAAATATATGGTGGGCATCGAATTCCTTAAGAGGAAATTATGTTCAGACTCACGTGTTTATGATTTAAAATTATGGAATCAAAACCAAGCAATTTTCACACATGGAACTTGACCCGTGCTCACAAATTAAGAAATTCTTAATGGTAAACTATGTAAGAGGTCATTAACTATGTTCAAATGACCATTTTGTCACCAAACTTTCCAATGGTTTAAAATAGTCATTAACTTTATTGATTTATTACAAAATGGTCATTAAATTTATACAACTTCTATACGAATTTTAAGTCTCAATAACCATTCCATAATAGTTCGATAAATTTTATGATCATTATATAACTATTGAAAGTCTAATATCCAAGATAATCATTTGAGTATATTTAATAACGTTTAATCTACTATACCCAATTTTAAATAACAACCGTTACCCATTGATTTATTTGTTATAAACACAATATGATAGGAAAAAAAACATACATGTTTATGATATAGTTTAAATCCTAAAAAAATCTAAATCAAATCAACAGTAGATAGGAGCATGGGAAAATGTTGATACAAATTGGGATGTCAAGGCAAGTATTTTTCTCCCAATAGTCTCGCAACTAAGAGACGGGTCAATAAAGGATATCATTTCTCGTTCAAATAAATGGAGTACAAATCAAAGAGAGATTGAAAGTGGGGTTCAAAGATCTTGTTGTCCGATTTGTCCATGGATATTTTTCTCTATATAATGATCATAAAAGGTGCTTTACAAGTGTATGTGTATACATAGTAACTAAATTGGAAAATGTTTATAAATCCGTGGATCATTCATGTATGCATAGATGGAGAAGATGAAAGATTGAGTAGCAAAAAGTTTACATTTCTGATTTTACCAATGATTGGGGTGTCTTGAGATGTTAAATTGTCCGGTACGAAAATGAACAAAATTTCCCCATCTTATACATCAAGTTTCTGGATTTCTATTTAAAAGTAGAAATACGTACAAAAGTATATTATATAAAGTGCACATACTTGGGTGATTAAGGGGATTCCCGATTTGGCTGCGTATTTTGAAGAGGAGATAAAGTATGTTTTGTTTTTGAAGCCCAACTTCTACATTACAATAAATAAAATAAAAAATATATCATTTATATATAATATAAAGTAATTGCATTTATTTAACTTTCATATAAAAGATTCATTTATATATAATATGTGGATTCATTTTGTATAATTTATGTTTATTTTATGATTCATATTTAAGATATGTGATTGTTTCTTTTAATAACGTAGTCTATGCGATTTAAAAAATAAACAGATACTAATTATATACTATAGATTATAAGCACTTAAAGTTTTTTTATTATTTATAATTTTGTTCAAAAATAATATATTTTACTACTATATCATTGTATGGTAATAAATTAAAAGTTTAGGAATTGTATGGTCAACAAGGCATTAACATTGTTAGTAGAAAGTTTTTTTTTTAAAAAAAAGTGGAGAAAGAGACCCAAATTTACTGTTAACAAGGACATAAATAAATAAATAATTGAAAAAGACGGGTGGCAAGCATAGATTCCTTGGCCAAGAAAATCTAATATCATATCTCAAGATTAATTAAAAGCTAAATATTGGGGTGACTACGTGGGCATGATCCGGCTTAATTGCTCTGGTCACTATGCTAATAATGCTACCCAACTATAATAAAATTTAATTTTAACTATTTTTCCTTTAGATTTTATTAAATCAATTAACATAAAAGTAATAATTTTATGAATTTGACGTTAATTATTCTCTCCCTTACACAAAAAATAAAATATTTTAAAACTATAATTTAATATATCTAAAATTGTATATAAATAAATAAACTATACAATAATATATTAGATTTTAAAATTTTAAATATTTATATTTATACAATTTGAGATATTTTGTATCCATCACAAAATCTCATTTTTTTTATCGAAATAAACTTTTGATCAAGTGAGTGCATTATAAAACTTTTAGATTAAATCATAGTAAAATTGAGATTGTAAAATTTAGTAAGTTTTTAATACTATAATATTTGAATAAAGAGGACTATGCCAAAATTAAGTATGATATAAGAAAACCAATGATGTTTAAAAAGTGAATGAAACATGAATGGAAATACCCATATATTTATATTTTATAAAATAATGAGTTATATAATAATTACATTAAATATTGAGGAGATTATTTTTTAAAAGACCTTTACACTCATCTGACACCTGGCAAGAGCATTAATGAGAATTGACAAGGGAGAATTTGGTGGCAGGCCCCTGTTTGTTTGATGATGAATTGTTTTATATGCTTTCTGTATTGCCCGATTCCCAGTTGAAAAAGAAAACTACATGATGAAGCTTCTGTACACTACGATTCATGGAAAGATACCACATAAACAGAGAAAGAAAATGACGAGTTTTCAGCCCTTTCAAAGAAAAAGCAAAGGGGCTGTAGACAGTTAAACACACTCACATTCACAAAATCAAGAAAATAGAATGGAAAAAGGAAGAAGAAAACATTAATAATCCCATAGCAAGCCTTCTTTGAAGCCATTTACTAATTGATTACAAACGTACTCACAATCTTCCATGCTTTCAAGCCATGGTGAAGGATAGAACCATCTGTCCATTGAGTCCACAAATACAAACTCATTCCCCAACTCAACCGAGTCGTAACTTGTCCCCAGACTCGGCAGCTCCACTATCTGGCTCAACTCCTCCGACCCTGAAGTTATGTCCAGATGAGAAACCAAAGACGACAGCGATGATGACCAAGTCGAAGAAGATGGCGCGGATGGTGATGGAGAGCCCAAATTTTCCATCTGGGCTGCTTTGGCTGCCGCAGCTTGTACGTCACGGGGTGCTAAAGACACGGGTCGGGGTAATGAGTTGGCGAGTTCGGGAAAGTTGAGAATCGCTGTGTTTCCCTTGATGCTTAAAGCGGCCACGTCGTGTGCCCGAGCTGCCATCTCTGGGGTAGGGAAAGTACCGAGCCAAATGCGGGATTTTTTACGTGGCTCGCGGATTTCGGACACCCATTTGCCCCAGGTCCTCATTCGGACGCCACGGTAAACCGGGTGCTTGCTTGAATCTCCCCTCATTCTCTTCATCTTTTTATTACAATCACTGGTGGTTTCAGGTTTAGTGTTTGGAGTTGTGGTTGAGCTAGGGACCGAGATGGGAGTTGAAAGAGTTGACCCAGAACTGCACTCTGTTTCTGAATTTCGCAGCCCAGTCATTTTTATTCCCCTCTTAGTGGTGACTTGGAGCTACTAACTATAAGCTATTTTCTCCTTTGAAACGTACAAAGTACAGCATAAGCAGACAGGCAAGAGGTGTTATAGTTGTTTGCTGCCAAAACAGAGTAAATTGAAGTGACAGTGATGAATGGAAAACAAGCTTAAAAGAAGAAACAAAATCCAATGGGAAGTTGTTCTTCTTATGGAGAAAATCGAGTGAAGAAGAGATGGTGGTAGGGGTCAGATCATACACCATGAGAGAGTTATTTTGAGTTAATATTTTATGAGATAAAATACCAAACCATAGGCTTTTTCTTATACATCATTTCCCAATGACTCACACAACACTTATAAACATTGAGAGAGAAAGGTGACCCACAAAAAGAAATGGGTCACCCTGCTACACCCTATGGTTCAATGGGGTCCTTCTCTCTATTACCACGCAACCTTCATTAGTTTTTTTTATATTATTATCAAATCCACCGTTCATTTATCCCCTTATCTTCTTCTTCATCACCACCGAATTTCATTATTTATTTTGCCACCCTTGTCTCCATTGCAAGCTCCCCCCCCCCCCCGGTTGCTAATTAAATATGTTTGTGAGGTAGCCATTTCTAGGGTTTTAAGTTCTGTCAGGTCAAGTGCTGTGTTGATTTTTTTCCTTTTGCCTTTGATGGTCGATTCTTGATATGGGAACTAAAACATGTTTTTAATATCAACTTGTGTAAATAAAAAGATAGAAAGAAGTCGAGGCCTACATTCACTTGGGGTCACAAGTTGGAAGCAACAACTTCAACGGGTGTGATGATCGGCCAATTTCAGAATAAATGCTATTCCTAATATTTTCATCCCCAATAAATCAAATCCCTTTCTTGTTTAACCATGAGTGAAATAAGTCTCTTTCCGACATTGATGGTTAAGAATTTGCTTCGCTGTGGTATCAGGGATTTCTCGAGCTCAACCATTTGCTTCATCAGACACAAATTTAGAATAAAGAAACGCTGAACATGTCAAATTCAGACATAACATTAACAACAACACTGTCATTAATTTTTATCAGGCTTCTTGGTATACGTACGAACATTATAACTACTTTTTTGTTATGGTTTTGTAATAAATTTTGAAGTACATGAACTATCTTATATACTTGTGTTTTCTTAACGGTGCACTCTCAAAGGAAGTTTAAAATGTTACTCCACAACTGAGCTGTTGATTACTATAAACATGGACCCATATATTAATGTAGTTAAGTTATATTTGATTCCACTATTTTAAATATATGAATTAATAGTCTCATACCTAAATCAGAGATTTTGAATATTCATAATAAAATACATTCATTCGATTGTATAATTAGTTAAAATTTTAATTTTGACAAATTTTAATTTAATACCCTACTTGTAAAGTACTAAGGGTGCGTTTGGTTCACGGAATGTAAGATTACCAATGAGAATAAAAGATTACCAGAGAATAGAATTACTAAGAATGTTGTATTTTGTGTTTGATTGGTTTAACAGGAATGTAAGATTACTGTATTTGGTTAAAGGAATAAAAGATTATTGGAATGTATATTTGACCAAATTGTCCTTATTATATATTTGTTTTTTTAACAAGTTGAAAAATATTTATATATTTTCTTTAAAAAATTTACATTCATAAAATTTATATATATTTTTTTACAAAATTAAAAATATAAAAAGGTTTAATGAAAGAGTAAATTTTTTTTTAACCCATGAACTTCATATAAAATTTTAATTATAGTCTTTTTCTTTGTAAATCTAAAATAGTTTAAGGATAAATTGATAATTTAACATTCGTAGATTTTTTATTATTCAATGACAGAATAAGGATAATTTTGAAAGAATTTTTTTAAGGACATTTTAGTCCAAAACGCCGGTAATCCAATAATACCTAAGGAAATGGAGATAATGACATTCTCGGTAATATACCCAAAAAAATCAACTATTAGTAATGTAAGATTACCGGGAATGACATTCCTGACCAACCAAACGGGGGAATGTAGATTCTATTCTCATGAAAAAACTCACATTTCCCCAATCAAACACACCTTAAAATTACTTTTACCGGAAGCCGAAACTGCTTTATACATAGAAATTTTATTAATTATTAATGATACGCAGGGTTATATATTGTACCGCAGCCATCGATAGAATGCTTTGATGAAAGATTACGGAATCAGACATGAAGAATTTCTAAAAAACCTTTCACCCCAAAGGACAGTACAATACCGACGAATGTGTTCAATGTCCATCGCATATTTAAAAAGGCCAAAATTCAATTAAGTTGTTAGACAACAAAATCATTTTATGATTTGTGTACCGGATGTGTAAATGATTTGACGTATATTTAGCTTTCTTACTGTTTGAGGTTTTGCTTTTTTACTTCTCCATGGTTTTCACCTTTTCATGGTTTTTAAAAAATATATAATTGATTGAAAATAAAATAAAAAAAAATTTAAAGGTTAGAATCGAATTTAAAATTGATGAAGATATTATATTTTAAAAGTGAACAGAGACAGCGATCATGAATGTGAAAACATTGCAATCTTACATATGTAAGTGGATTGGTTAACATGAACTGAAGAAGGTAAGAAGTGAGTGCCAAATTGCATCAAAGAAATAACAGCATTTACCTATGAAGTTGTATTAAATTTTGAGCCATAATCAGAATTAGACGACAAAAGATTCTTGTCAACAACTCAGGTATCTTGCAGCCATTGGTGTCCCCGTGAGCTGGTGCTTTGGACCCTCCGATCAGAAAATCATTTCTTTAACCGACTACTCTGATGCTTTCTGCATCACACATATTTGTAATACTCATTCAACATTTTCAGCCACTCAACCACCTGCCTCGAGAGTCAAACTCTGCCATCTACACACCCATTTTATTCATTCATACTCGTAATCAGTAAATTCAATTTATATATATATATAGTTATATACAGTGCTATTCGACTGTAAAAAGAAAAGGGCTTACATCTGATCTGAAACATGCAGCAGTTCACTGATTGTTTGTCACATGCATTGCGTATTTGCCCATGCATGCAGAGCTGATTAAAGATGTAATATTGTTGGATTCATTAATTCCATGCATATATAGTAATAAGTGGGGCCTGAATAACATCAGCCATTTCTCCTTGGTAATCTCCATATTAAACCTATCCCTTCATCATAAATACGGCAAGCGTGACTCAGGTGCATCTTTAGATTCTAAGAGGGGAGGGGTGAAATATGGATCTAAGGTCTGATGGATTAACTTTCCAGATTATGTTAAAGATGTTTTCTTTGAGTTTATTACAAATTTTATTATCATCACAGGGATTTACGAACAGTGTGTTTTCTATTGGTTATTTGCCTGAAAGTTCACGGTTTCGGAGTCTGGAGGCAAATATGTTGGTTATATTGGGATGTACAAAAGATTACAAAGGCCCATGAATTTGGGTCCATAACTATTACCCATTCAATCAACATGGATTTCATTGCAAAGTTGAGGCCGCATGTGTATGGATTGGGTTCTTGATTCGATTCTAATCTGATCCGGTTTTAAAAGAAATGAACATTTTTTGTTCTATTTTAGTTTTATATGATCACCGAGGAAGAAGATGAAAAACAAAAAAGTGACAAACATTTTTTGATAAGATTAATGAACATTATATAATTAGATGATTTAAAAGGGGTTGTTTAGAGATTTTAGAATTTTACAATAATCGATAACAGCGATCAGTGTCATTAGTTGTAACTGTTTCAGAACACTTTTCTTCCTCCGATTTTCTCAAGAAATTCATGACCATGAGTGGCATCAGAGTAGATGGGTGGAAAAGGACGGGCTCTTTCGTTGAGTTCTACTTTCCAGGGTGGTAACTCTTATTCAAAATTTCATGCTAACTTAATTTGTGTATTTTATTCTATAAACAAATTGTCTCATCACACACAAAAAAAAACCTTTAAAAAATTTTAAAATCAATTAACCGAGTTAATCAAATCTACAATTAAATCAATAGATGCTAAGTCTAACTTTTTAAGTTTTTTTCCCTAATTTAGGTTTTCTCTCAATATTTTTGTGTCACCTTCTTCTTTCCCTTTGATTTTTATTTAACTAGCGGCAACACACATTTTAATGTTGTTCCTCTGATCATTCCTTTATCATTTTTGTAAAATGTCACGTTCGATGGAGACAATAAATTTTTGTGAAGGTTATTGAATTCTTTTGATGTTGAACGTCATTCTCAAGGGATTATTTCGTTTTTCTCCGTGTTTTAGGTTTAATATTTTTAATTTTATATGAATTATTGTCCATATTTTTCTTTTTACGCTTGTGGGTTGTAATTCTAATTTTTTTCGATTACCTTTTTCTTAATAGAATTCAGTTGTCATTATTAAAAAAATCAATAAATGTTAATCAATCAACTATTTTAAGAAATATATATAATCTATATCACTGAAAAATACATATGATGATAATGCGAATTTTAGTTAAGTGAATTAGTAAATATAAAAGTATACCCACACATAATTTATGCATAATAAGAATTAAAGCTAAACATTTAAGATTTTAAGATTTTAATTTTTATCAATAATAATAAAACTTTTTTAAAAAATTGACATAAAATTAATGAGGTAATTAACCAACAATATTTATCTTTTAAAATTTAAAATTTAATTAATATAATTATTTGATATTTGATATATTTATTTATAGTTCATATTTAAGATTTGTAGTTATTTCTTTCAATATTATTATTTTTAAATTTTAAATATAGATCTTTCTAGAAGTATAATATGCATCTTATCATTCTCGATATTTATTATTATCACTAGATATTTATTAGTTAATATTTTTTATAAAAAAGATTTATTGATCATTTAATTAATACAATTCAAATACAATGAATTTAATATTATAGTATTAAATACTCTACGGAACCCTAAACCATTTTATTCAACGTAATCGACCGGATGATTAAACCCAAAAAAAAATACTTCGTTAGGCAATTTGATAGTAAAAATATGTATCTTATCATTCTTATCATTCTCGATTTATTATTATCAGTAGATATTTATTAGTTAATATTTTTTATAGAAAAGATTTAGAGAAAATAACTTCAGTGACCAAAAATCCTAGATAATATACGATTTTGACCAATTTTTTTTGGATTTGCGAAAATAACCAACAAAATCGCAATGCGATATCTAATTCGCATTGCGATCTCCACTATCGCAAATTCACGTTGTATTTCGCATTACGATAGTTGAAAATCGC